GAAGTATGAGACAAAATTCCTGTTGACTGAATGGAGTCAGATTTACCCAGAAGAGACTTGTTTGTGGCCCTGAGGCCTGTGTGCGATGCTGGAGAGAAATCTCTTCATCTAATGCTATTTTTCTTTTTTTTTTTTTTTGGAGGGGTGGGTGGTAAAGACTGAGGAGGGAAAGCTGAAGTCCAGAACTGACAGCATGAGCAGGGATTAGACCTTGCTGTTCCTCCCACCTTTTTCTCCCTGTTGGTGTGCCTCCATGCTAATTTAGACCTGTGGCAACCATCAAAGCCTTGTGCATACCTTCTGCACAAAGGGGCCTGTCTCCCACGTGAGGGCGTTCTCTGCTGGGACAGAGTCAGTTTGTCCCCCAAAAGAAAAATCTTAAGCACCCAATTGCCTGCTTGACTGACTCCTTGACTGCTATTATGTTTCTAACCACAGTAATTGGCTTTAGTAGTTATTAATGGATTATGTTTGGGGAGGGAGGGACAGAACCAATACCTAGCTTTGTAGCTGAGGGACTCCCTGACCAAAGTGCTGCTTTCCAGACACAGGATTTGACCGGTGAGCTGTCGGAGTGGTGTCTTTTGCTTGTTTTCCTCTGAGATGGGAGTCATTGGCAAAAGGTCCTGCACTATGGTGAAGAGAAGACAGGTACTGAGCAGAAACCCTGTTTTCAAGTATGAAATGCTGCACACTTTTGTAATTGGTCCTCATGGCTGCTGCACAGCACCAGGAATTGGCTTTTCCTTAGACTCTCAGACTTTGGTCAGGGACTTCCATGGAGAAGACTAATGTATGCACCCTGCAGCATCTGTGCGGAGAGCCCTGTGCTACAGGTGCATTGGGCCAATTGCATGTGCACTGCCAATGAACCTGGGATTTTGTAAGACAGCCTGGTTGGAGAGACTTTGAAATAGCTCTGATGCTGCAGGCCTTGTCTGGCCTTAAAGGGCAACTATGGGTCACAGGAGTTGTGGACACCTCCGGGTATGTGAGTTTGGGTAGGAGGGATTAAAGCCAGCAAAAAAAGAGAGCCTTGGTAGCTGTAGCTCTTCATTGGTTACCGTAGCTCTTTGAGATGTCTCGATGTTATCTGCTTGCCTCTTTTGCAGAGTGTATTGGCAGTGCTGCTTTGGCCTTATGATCTGGAGAAACCAATTGCTCAGCTAAACCATAGAGCTAGGAGTAGGAGGAGTCCTGAGTTCTGACCCTGCTTCCACATGGCTCTTCTGTGGCTTTGATTGAGTTCAGTACGTGTTCACCACTTTGCTGCTGGGTGCCTTGTAACACCAGCAGTAGTGCTTCTCATGGAAGTCATGGATGGCTGCAAGAATCCCTTCCTGGTAGAGTAGAGGCTTGGAGACACCTTCTGACTTCCAAAGGAAGAATGTTGTTGTAGAAGATCAATCAAATGTTTAAAACCTACTATTTTTACAGACATGACATTGTTTCCATATTTTGCTTTCCTCTTTCATCTGCCAGCCCCATGTCATGCTGCAAAAGATGTTTGGGCAAAGCATAGAGCTGGTTTTTATTTAAAGCAGGCCCTGTTTCCTGCATTCGTGCTATCCTTATTGCAATGACTTAAACATAGTTTTGACATTTTATTCTTGGTAGCTACCATAAAAGTGGCTTTGTGAGAGGTCATTTATAGCTTACTTAGAAATCTTTGTATGAACCACTTTCTCTTATTTGGACTGAGGATAGGAAGTTGGCACAAAACAAGCAGTGTGGTGTGGAGAGCCGTAGCACCCAAGTTCCAGCTGCTTGATGTTAAGGATTTGTTCCTGCCTCATCAACTAGTTTGAGGCCGGTGGCTGTCAGGCGACCTCTGGAGCCAGCATGTGCAGCAGGGACATAGCATCGCCAAAGAGGACTTTGGAATGGGCCCTGCTGGATGGTGTGAACTGAGCCAAATATTGCTGCAGGAGAGCTGTGCTGTGCTGCCTTTAATAAGAGAGTGCTTGAGCACTGGGGAGGGCAACCTGATCCAGCTTTGAAATTGGCCCTGCTTTGAGCAGGCTGGACTGGAGACCTCTATTCTGTGATTCATTAGGCTTGTGATGCTGCAGCCAATTCATGATTGTGCTCAGAAGTTGCCAGCAAACAGAAGCAAGACATGAAGTAGGAAGTAACAGGGAATTTCCCATGGGGTCTTTCCACAGCTTACAGCACTGACTGTATATGAAACGTGCCGAGTTGAAAATGTGGTTGCAACTTACAGCTGCTCCTGTTTTATGTTTTCCCTTGGCATATGCAAATACATCTTTGTCCTGCCAATTCTCTGCAGTTGTGACTGGCTGTATCTGGGAAGCTCAGCCGCTGAGAGCTGTGGAGCACCTCTGCCTTTGCTGCTGTCTGCCCCTTGTGAAATGCGGTGGAACGTCCTGAAATAGTCTTGAATCAGAATTCAAAGTCTGTCTTGTAGCCTATTTCCTCTGTCTTGCTCATGCAATATTTCTTCAGAACATGAGGATTAATAAGTGTTTTGTTTGCTTGGTTTTTTTAAACAGCTCATTTGTGACGGGGACAGCCTGCTGTGGACACACCTCACCTCTGAGAATCTGGGACCTTGAGAGGTGAGTGAGCTTCCTGGTTACAGTGAGGAACTTGACAAGAAAAGTGAGTAACAATGAGAGACACAATATTGGAGATGCCATAAAATCATTCCTTTAGTCCATGTAGGCAAAGCATATTTAAACATGAGATGTGGGATGGAGTGGGGGACGGAACAAGCTGGTGTGGAAAGGTGTATGTGGGAAGTGGTTCTGGTTCAGTAGGGAGCAGCTCAGCTTTTCTTCCCAGCTTTTCTAATTAATGGCACAGCCATTCTGGTTTCTTCCCATTACCCATGTGCAGTCAGAATATGCCCATTACACCTTTCTTTTCATCTGTCTCCATTGATGCTTCAGCCTGAGCGAGAGGGGTGAGGAAGGTGATCTGCATCCTCCCTTTCACCCACTTGTCTGTGGTGCTCAGAAACCAGAGGCAAACGCAGGCTCTACACTCATCTTGCCCTGGCTGGTGTTTCTGGTAGCTCAGGGAGGAGAGGGGTGGCGACAGATTATCTATGGAAGTGACTTAGGCATGTTGTCTTCTCTCTGTCTTAATAAGTATTGAGGAGGTTAATTGCTGTGGCCTCCGATTTGGGGCCATTGAGTAGTTCCTGTTTGGTAAAGGGGCTGACCTTAGCAACTGGGGAAATGTTGGGCTCAAATGCTGACGTGAGACCTAACTCCTGACAAATTTGAAACTCTCAGCCTGGGGGTCTTTGTGTAATGATGGACAGGTAACAAATACTTGGCAGGATTATTGAACGGCAGCTCAGCTTTCCAGGACTGGTATGCTCTGGGTAGGAGTGGCACAGCACAGATTATCAAGGGAGTGCCATCAGGATTGAGGTGAGCTGGTGGGCTCTGGGAGGGGAGAGAGGGGGGCAATGGCAGAAGGGACCTGAGGGGTGTCAGCAGAACTGTATTTGGGAAAAGGAGGTAGAGGAGGATTGGTGTGGATGCAGGGTTGGTCTGAGGCCAATTGCTGCCTTCTATAGCTTAGATAGTTTAGATTGTCTGAGTCAACTGCATTAAATACAACTATAAACCAGTTTGTCCCTGAAGTAACAAAAATAAAGACTTTGCAAAGGATGCATCCCACAAAGGACAAACTAGAGCAGGAAAGACAGCACCAGTGCATTCAGCTATGGTGCACGTTTCTCGGTGACCTAGTCCAATGGTGCCTTTGGAGTATCCCAGAAGGATGCAGGCTGTGCTGTGATACCCGGGCCCATCAAGTCTCCTAGCTGTTCTTGAATAGAGGCATCTGACAGGGGTGAGGAGATAGGCAACCCTCTCCCCCCTGCCCCAGCCTCTCTGACAGCCTTTCCCAAGGAAGTCTGAAGAGATAATAACGCTGTGTAGAAAATAGGATTAAGGTAATGAACAGGCACAACGGAGTTTGATCTTTCAATAACGTCAAAGCCTGAGTGACAAGCAAATAAAAAAGGCAAGAAAACCTAGGCCACTGGGCCTCCATTGTGATGGCTAGAGTGTCAAACTTATTCTTCCCTCTTTACCTGTCACAGCTGGAATGCACCATGCCACTGGGTCTTTTCCTCTCCAGGGACCTGTGTGTGAGGTAGGAGTCTCATCAGCACGTGCAAGGCAGGAGACTGAGTAGGGAGCACAGCTGGAAAACTAACACGTGAAGCTTGATGGAATCATTCATAGTGAGCCGTCCTTCCAGGTCTTGACTTCTCCATAAACTGTTCTTCTTCCCAGCAGAGCTTTGGATTCATTTTCAAAGGCTCCAGTAGTTGCCAGAAGCGATCTTGTAGGGGAATGCTATTTCTTCCTTTGAGGCTTGTGCACGTTGCTCCCTGGTCAGACTTCAGAAGTGGGAATGTGGCATGGAAACTCAAAATCCTAGAACTACCCAGGACTGAAAAGCAACTCCTGTGCCCAATGTGTCCTGAAAACATCTGGCAGACAGAGCTGGGCCCCCTGAGTTTACTGCTTACCCCTTCCTTGTGGCCGCAAAGGGCCAGAGTCTGACTGGCAGAGGCTGAACGTGGCAAGGACAATATCTCTAAGAGCAGAATCCAGGCAATTTCCTTGTCAAAAAAATGAGACAGGGTAAAGCGATGCTTAAGACATGTTCTTTAAAACTACAGGATGCTTAGCACCACTTAGATGTTTAGTGCTGCCCAAGACCAGTTATTTCGGTTTGCTGTTTTTTTTTTTCTGCATGGGGGTGTGTGTAACTAACATTGCAGCAGTTTCTGTGGCATCTCGTTCCCTTGGGGTAGGTGGTCTTTTTTGCCAACAGCTGAGAGCTGGAACATGCTACAAAAGGATTTAAAGCTTAAATAACCTTTTGTGTACTGATCATCTTAGTTCCAGGCCAGATAAATCCTTGGCTGGTGCTTGTAGCTGTTGGTCATGGTATGTTTTCGTATTTATGACCTTCGCTGTTCCCTGACCCTGGGGCAGCCATTCTCATCCCTCCAAGAGGAAAGGGATAATGTCTTCACCTGGAAATATGTCCTGGGCTTTGAAAAGGGCTTGGTTGGGTTTGGCAGTGAGGAAATTTTTTAGTGGGGAAAGGAAATGCCTCTTGCTGCATCCCACCCCCACAACTGTCTTTCATTTCTGACTCTGAGATGATGGCGTTGGATCAAAGCTGCAACAGGCAGCAACAAGCAATTGTCAAGGGGAGTCTAAAGCAGGGGAATGACCGCGTAATGCCAAGACACTGTCTCTGATGGCTGAAATTCCAGCTGCTGCTACACCTGGCCCTTTCTCCTGTAATGAAGGAGGATTTTTTTTTTTTCCTTATGCTTTTGAAGCTGGCTAGCTACACCTCTGGAGGATGCATCTCATCCCACAGATGCTACATTGTGCCATCTGATTGCTTTTAGGTGTGGGGAAGTTGCTGTGCACTTATTGCCACTCAGGATCAAGGGATGTGTGTGTGTGGAGGGAGGCTGTGAATAAGTTAGGTGACTAGAGATCTGCAACAGAAAAGGAGAATGGTTAGCAGTATGGGCCCCTGGATACTAACCTATGGCCTTGCATCAAGGATCAGGCCTTGCTGACTCCTTGGCCTCTTGCAAGTCCCCTTGCCCCTCTGTGCCAGTGAAGGATATGATGGCAGCTGCCCCTCTTGCAGGTCAGGTGCCTCTGCTCCCTTTTGCCTTTCTCTGCTCAGACTTTCCTGTCTCATCTGCCAGTGCTAGTGTGTGGCTCAGCAGAACAACCGCTTAATGACAAGCAAGAGAAAAGGAAACTTTCTTCAGATCCTGTTCCTCTTTTTTTCTCTTCCCACCTCCTATCTCCTTTGGGAGTTTAAACTCCTTGGGAGACAAGGGTCATGCACCACTGGGAACAGCTCCAAGGCCGGTATTTGTCATTTGCTTGGGGAGAATTGTTGCTCCCCGGCCTATCGTGGTGGTCTGCATGTCTTTAGATAACAAATGCCCCTGCCTCAAGGATGCTTCTCCGTAAGGTAGGATACTCCAGAGTTTGCTTTGCAGCAACTCTTGGAGCTATTCTGCCAAGCCCAGTGTTTGAAATGGACCAGTGATCTGTCTGGCATGGTAGTCTCATGCTGTAAACACTTTGAAAGCACAAGTCCTACATTGTCCTTTCCTGTGACACAACGTGACAGACGTGGGGCACGAGAGCTGTTGTGAAAACTGAGCCAAAGTTAGCTGTGCCTGGCAAGCGACCCTAGATCCTCTACCTTTTAAATATCCAGTCTTTGTCCATCTCCTCCCCCCTTTTGAAAGCATTTTTGGCAGAGTGTTTTTTTTGTTTTGTTTTTTGTTTTTTTAAGAACCCTCTAATTTCTTGTTCGGTTTTTCTCCCTCTCCTGAGCCCTTTGAAAGTGGCTTTACGCCGTCACTGACACCAAACTGACACTTTGCGTTTCCCCACTTCTTATCCCTTTATGGCAACAGATGTTGAAATTTTGTATCCCTTTTATCTGTCCCTCTTTGCCCTCTTCCTGTAATTAGGTTTCCCTTGTTAGCAGTACAAAGTGGCCTGGTTTGCTGCCTGGCCTTTTGAGCCATTGTGTCTGAGCACATTTTTTTCCTCCTCTTTCGGAAGAGTTCCTTCCCCCTTAAGTAATAGGCAGGGTGTGGGCCAAAGCTGTGGCTTTTTCTTGTTTCTTTGTTCTCCATTTATCTCTGCCACCTTTTTCAAAGGGATGGGGAAAAAAAAATAGAGAGTGCATGGAAGGGGAAGATACAGAGTTGCATTTCTTGACCGTCAGGCCCCCTGCTCTTCAGGTGTTCAAGGCAGGTGCCTTTGATGTCTGCAAGTTTTGGGGAGGTGGGAGGTGGAGTATTCGTGAGGGTGGCTTGGGAGTGGAAGAGAAGGGAGATTCAGGTGCGTGGCTGATGCCCTTAGCAGAGGGGTGGGGAGGAGTCTTTCAGGGTAGCTAGGCAGCTGCTGAGCAGGTTAGTAATCCGTATTTGCCTCTAGTGCTATTGCATTGTGCTCTTTCTTTCTGAGAGCCAGCATGAGCGTTACCATCCTAAGCAGCTGGCTGAAGTTTACTAACTTGCTGCTGCTTGATCTCTGGTATGTGCTTCCATGGGACCCTTGCTAGGTTACATCTGTTTGTGCAGTGGGGTGGACAAAAATTAGTTGCTGTCTTTCAAATTTTGGCATATGTTGATCTGCATCCACTTTGGTGGCTCTTTAGAGCCATTGAGTGAATGAATGTGAGCAATTGTCAACAAGGAGGGAGAGCTTTAAAACTTGTGAACCCTGTGCTGTTCTTAAACAGCAAGTGTAATTTGACAGTTGCTGTATATAGCACTGAACACCCTGGTTAGGTGATCACTACTGATGCTTTCCTGTTTAAATCCAGTCCTTCTTGGCTTTACGTCCTGTTGTGCTCAGATTTTTTTATGTGTGGAAGCTGATAAATGAAATGACAATCTGCAGGTCTAGATCTTGGTTATAAAGCTTGCTAAATGTTTTCAACAAAAGCTTTTAATGTAAAAGCTTGGCCCAAGATGCACAAGCAGGCTTCTTAATGTTGTGTTCTAAAACAAATTCTGTAGAAGATT